GGCAAAGGTAGAGAAACCTTTGCAGGAAGCAAAGTTGTTCGCTCTGTTCAGATTCATCCTTGAAGCTCTGTGTGGACTTTGTACTTTGGTTGGTTTTGTTTACAGTTCATTTGGCACTTTAGTTGTTGGCAGGAATTCAAAGGTGGGTGCTTATCTCGAGGGACTGTTTGGGACTCATTACCAGCTGGGAATGAAAATAATTCCCAGCGTTGAAATAAAACAAGAGCTGTTTTCACTAAGCGTGTGCTTCATTACGGTCTCGGGAAGCCTTGGTCAGAGCAGCTCAGTTCCATCCTTTCATGCATTTAGAAGTGTCTTCAGAAAGATATTAAGAGACTTAGGAAGACCCAGAGAAAGATGGCCAGATAGATTGTGACGAACATGGACAAAATAAATGTAAGATGATAAAATGGTTTACGGCCTCAGTGGCGTTTGTTGTACATACCGAGAAGATACGAAGTATGATGGCTTTGGACTGAAAATTCTTTGTCCCGTGTGGGTTGCTTTCGGGCTAATTCCTGTTAATGTCATGCATGGTTAGTTGACGTCCATTTCATCTGTCTTTTGGAGATTTATTTTATCAATAAAGATGATAATATGCCTCTGAAGATAGTTAGTATCATTTATACGAATTGTCTATTGACGGACACATTTAACAAAGGGTGTTTATGTGCTGAACAATCACGTATTTTATTTATCCAATAACCACATGATCGATTTTTTTTTTAAAGGAGATCGGGTTGAAGGACTTCTTGGAGATGTAAAGACCTGCCAGGATTTGAATATGTCTAAAACATTCAATTTGTGTCAGGACTGTGTTACATTTTATTAGTATTGTCCTTTTGGAGATCACTTATTGATACCGAGTTTAAAACAATCAAACCCAGGATGTTGACTTAAGATGATTGCCTGCTTGTGCGTGAAAGTGCCTAAATTGATACCTACTGTATAAAACGTGTTGAGGCCTCCAGTGCCCTAATCAGCATAACAGAGTTGGAAGGGACCTTGGAGGTCTTCTAGTCCAACCCCCTGCCTAGGCAGGAAACCCTACACCACTTCAGACAAATGGCTGTCCAACGTCCTTTTAAAAACTTCCAGTGTTGGGAGAATTCACAACTTCTAGAGGAAATTGTTCCAACGATTAATTGTTCCGTCAGGAAATTTCTTCTTACTTCTTGGTTGGTCCTCTGCATGATTTGTTTCCATCCATGGCTTCTTGCCCTGCCTTTCAGGTGCTTTGGGGAATAGATTGACCCCCCCTCTTCTTTGGGGCAGCTCTTGAGATATTGGAAGACGGCTATCGTGTCCCCCCCAGTCCTTTTCATTAAACTAGACATACCCAGTTCCTGCAGCTGTTCTTCATGTGTTTTGGCTTTCAGTACCCTAATTATCATTGTTGCTCTTCTCTGCACTCTTTCTAGTAAATAACCTTCAGCAACAGCTTCCATGAAATTTGGTTAGATCTCATCTGAAGGGCTTGTTTCCAAAGACTTCCAATTCTGCAAGAGATGTAGGGAAAAGAGAGTGAAAGGCTAGCTCAAAGCTGAAATAAGCGTTCTCGGCATGAACCAGGAGCTGAATATGTTTTTCCTATGATCTTTGATACCATCTGGTGGTTTCAGTCCAGATGTAGAAGAACAAAATCATAACCTAGAACCATTTCTGAAAGTCAAGAGTCCTTCCCAGTGAAATAGGATTATCCTGTCTCCCACATCCCAAGTCAACAGAACCAAAGCTCTTCATGAGATGGTATGACACTCCATATTTTAAGGAGCATAATTCAGCCCCACGTTGAGGTCTTTGAATATAATATTTCTTTCTAAATATTGATTTGAAAGCAAAAGAAAGCTTGCTGCATTACTTACGGCCTCAGTGTGGTTGGAGCAGTCGCAGAAAACCAGTTCTCATAGTAGCCCATGCTAAAGTATCCCCAAAATGTTCATGGATTTATTTAGTCACCCTTATCTAGCTCTCTGCTACACAATAAAAGGAAATACTCAGCTCATTGCTTCTAACAACCACGTGCTCTTTACACTGTTACTCTTTCCAATATCCACTGTCAGGAATTTTTTTTTCCTTAATTCCAGGTTGGACCTCTGCTTAATAAGTTTCCATCTATTACTTTTTATCCTGCCCTCAGGTGCTTTGGCGAATAAGTTGGCCCCCTTTTCTCTGTGACAGCTCCTCAATTACAGGAAGATTATCACTCCTAATCCTTCCCTTCACCAGACGAGACCTGCTTTTCACTATCCAGGCATGTACATTGTTCAGAAGAAGAAGAAGAAATGCTCACAGGGAAGGGGGAAGTAGGGGAGGAAAGTTCAATTTCACCTGTCATTATTTTTGGGCGCCAGGTGCTCCTGCCAAGGGTAGGCCACAAAGTTGGATTTCTGGAACACTGGCGCCATCTAGTGGTGGATTATAATAGCAACCATTGTCCTGCAAAGATGGCACCCCTTTTTTTTTTTTTGGCGCACTGCAAAGATGAATGTTTGGGCCACATTGCAATGCAGGGGTCCCCAAACGTGGCAACTTTAAGACTTGTGGACTTCAACTCCCAGAATTCCCCAGCCAGTTTTGAGAGTTGAAGTCCACAGGTCTTAAAGTTCCCAAGTTTGGAGACCTCTGTTGTCTGTTCTTGTTCTCCCTGCTGCACCAGGTTTACAAGTCAACGTTCTCCCTTGCTGAGAGGCTGCTCCCACCGTTTGTTTCTTAGATAAGGGCTGCAAAAAGGACTCCTTTAGACTCTCCTCTTCATCTCACTGGGCGGGTAAGGCTAAGTCGGATAACATTAGAAAAGTGGAATCCAATGTTCCTCTTCCTTCTAGCCCCCTTTTACTATTTTGCATTTTTTCACAGCTTTCCATTTCTGAAAATCATTTCCATAACTGACAAGAAGGAATGATAAAAGTTAGCAAAGGGAGCATCGGCTCATCCATCACTGCTCTATCTTGTTCCAACTCATTTTGCGTGTCCAGATAAATATTTTCGGGGTATTTTTTTTTAAAAAAAATGGAAGGAGCAGGGAAGATTTCATACTACGTACTGAGCGTCAAAAGCATAAACCAATTTTATGAACTTTTATGGGAATCACTTTCACAATGTGGCCTTGCAGACAGCGGACCCCAAATCAATTAATACTCAAAACGGGTGCAGACTGTGGAACGGAGCTTCAGCTGGCTGGAGAAATCTGGGAGTTGGAGGTCCACAAGTCTTAAAGTTGCCAAGTTTGGAGACCTCTGAGCTAGGAGAAAAGTGCCAGAGTTACAGGGGCACTGAAAAAAGTGACTTATGCGTTTTTTTAACCCTTAGGACTGTTGCAACACCCCCAGTCGCATGATCAAAATTGGCATGGATTTATGATGCAATGTCTCGGGGTCATCACCTTTGCAACCTTAATAGTCAATGATGAAGCCATATTCACTTAACAAATTTAACAACTGCAGTGATTCACTGAACAACTGTGGCAGGGAAGGGCATAAAACGGGGCAAAGCTCATTTTAACAACTGTCTTGCTTAGGTACAGCAATTCAGGCCACAATTGTGCTTGTTATGTCACGGACTACCACCTGTACCTCCACCTCCACAACGCCAGCTCTGTTGTGGACTAAGTAACAGCCTTGGGGAATTTATTTTTTTCAAACACCTTGTTTCAATATTACGAGTGGATTACTTAATCACCGTTGTTGTCTGAATGAGAAAAAGGACTTTGTTTCAGCTAGCTGACACTGGAGTCAATCACAAGGCGAAATGGTTCAAACATATATAAAGAAAAAAAAGGCACACACACACACACCCAATTTCCCTGTAGATGCACGTGAAGAACCACTGAGCTGGGCTTGGGGAGAGAATGCAAAGGCCATTAGCCAAACATGAATTAAGCCCAGGGAGTTAAGGTAACATGAGAAAGGAAGCTAAATAGAGGATATGGCTAAACAAAAGCCGATTGTGGTTTGAGGTTGTTTTGCTGGGGTCCTCTCAATTAAGCTTTTCATACAGTCCAGGAGGTCAAAAGGTAGAGTGGCTGAAAATATGAGATGTAGGCTTCTAGTTGAACACCTACATAGCATCTACACAAGTTGTAAGGCAGCCAAGCAGGAGACTTTGATCCAAATTAGCTTTGAACTAAACGTTTTTCTCATCCCCCCCCCTTCTTATAAATTAGTTCTATGCAACCAAAATGAGACTTTTTCTGTGTGTGTGTGTGTGTGTGCATAAACAATTTTAGCTGGCATTTTGTCAGGAAGGCCTATGAAGAGACAGTCTCCTGAGGCGGTATAAAAAAATAAACACATGCCATTTGACCCAATTAAACATTGGTATTTCCCATGTTGTTTTTGGTGTGCCTGTTTATTTAAGAGCAATAATGCTCTGAAGCACAAATGCTCCAGCTCTACATAATCAAAGGGCATTTCTTGAAGGGTGAATGGACTATTGACTTCAGAAAGCAGAAATCCAATCAGTAATTGTTCAACTGTAGCAAAAGAGGCCAACAATGACCAGGAAAAGGGATTTTTTTTTTTGCAGCCACACCTCCCAAGACCAGCCACGTCTACTCCGTTAGTTCTTGGAAAGTAAAATCCATTTCTGAGTTGGAACTTGTGCAGTTCAGTCTTGCAGGGATAGACTTAAAAGTTGTTTTGGGGTCTGCAGATCCCAAAGCAAGATACAGTTTGAGCCAGGTATTCCAAAAAGTTTGCACCAACGGCATTCATTTTGCAATCCATTCACATTCATCCTTTCACTCAGAAATGAGCCCATCTGATTAAATTCAGCGGAATAACCCAAACTGTGCGAACACAGCTGCAATTTCAAAATGGCTTTTAAAGAAATTAAAATAGATTCAATCTCTGGTAGTTGGTCCTCCACTTATAACCACAATTAGCCACGTGCACAGCTGGTTGGGGTTTTCTGGATCTTTATCTGCATCTCCTTTTCAGAATGCTTGAAAACGAGAGACTTTTATTCAAGCCATACGAAGACGGTCTTGCTTTATTTATATTTTATTCCATACAAAAAAACAGCAACAAATAGTAAAAAAAAATTATATTAAGAATGAATAAAAATAACATTCCCAGGCTCCCTTCCAAGTTCACGCAGCCCTGCAGAAAACTATTTACAAGTTTTATCGGTTTAAAACTCAGCGAGGTGTGCCACCCAAGAGAGGGCCTTTATTTTCCCCCGCTAAGAGGCCTGCTAATCCCGGGAAAAGGTTATTGCCAATTGTTTGGGGATTCTGAAAGAAACATCCATTCAAAAAGCATCAAATTCTCACTTTTAAAAATTAGAGGACAGAGTGCAGAGCCACCTCTTCCTGCCTACCTAGACTTGTGTCATGGTTAAGACATCAGCCAAGTGCTAAAACTATTTCCTTACTACAATGTCATTTTTTTAATAACTGCTAAAGCTGTGGCACCGTTGCCCGTGCGGGTTTTTCTTAACTGCAGGCCAAGCGCTTTCAAAGCAACCTGCTTCCTATGCAGGCATATAAATTAGGCAGTCACACAATTAGCTAGGACTCCGTTTTTAGGCATTCAAAAAAGGTCAAGAGAAACACTGATTTTTCATCTCTGGATGGCAACGCAGGAGAATTTCTTATTTCTGTCTGAATCTACTGGGGTTGCCCCTTCCTGAAAACGGAGCCTGCAGCAGGACACTCGATTCTACGGGTGACACAAGCTTCATACCGGAAGGTGCCTCGAGCTGGACTTAGTCATCAAGGCGATGCTCAATCCTCGCTTTGGCCGGGGCCTGTGCAATTCACCTAGAACAAAAGGCGGCCAAATCAACACACCAGGAACGTCATATGGGTTAATTTTACGTAAGAAATAGGTTGTCTTTATTGGGCACCACATCAAAAAGCATAGAATCCTAGGGCCGATGGGGACTTTGGAGGTCTTCTAGTCCAACTCCCTTGTCCATGGTAGGAGCCCTTATACCATCCCAGACCCATGAAAATTTGATGATATAGTTCTCAATACTCAGAAGTACAGGTAGTCCTCAACTTATGACCATTCAAATATACAGCAGAACCCCCAAAGGGGACTTACCCCCCCAGGTTTCAAAGTTCTGACATCCACCACCACCCCTATCGTGGCCACGTGGCCCCATTTCGGGTGCTTGGCAACTGGCTCACATTTATGGCCGTTTGCAGTGTCCTGCAGTCACCTGACCATGGTTTATGGTTTTGCCAGAAGCCAAGGTTTACCCTTTTTCAGCAAAAACCACCCCATAGCGAACGATGAGCCTGTTTAACAGCCATGCAGTTTGCTTAACAACCAGGGCACTTGCTTTCACTACCACCACAGAAAAGGAGGTAAAATTAGGTCTGGTCCCATGCTGACCTGTTTTACGACCGTCCCAACCCACAACTGCAATGGCCAGGTTCAATTGCAGTCATAACTCAAGGACTACCTGTAGTGAACAATCTCAAGAAATCACGATTATTCTCAATAAAACTGTACGCGACAAACACCCAGGTGGGCCTTTGCCTGCCTACTCACCCCTGACTTTTCTTTCTATTCACACCCCGGACTCATTCGTGTCCTATCCCTTTGCTCAGGAGGTGTAACCTCCCCTCCCGTTCATTTCCCACCAAAAACTTACAGCCTCATCCTGGTGAAAATATTTGAAACTTTACTCTGACAGCTGCAATGACATACATTAGTCAGGATTACTCCACTGGCTGAAGGGGTGTCACTGTAGCACATTCAGTACAGCTTTTGCAACAGACGCCCACTTGGTTAAGTCCCCCTTGATCAGGCATGATATTCTGCTCTGGAAAAAAAATCGGGGCCGGCCAAAAGAGACCCCCCGCCGCGCGCCCGGGGAGCGCCCGCTGCTTTCCCTCGCCAGGGCCGGGCGGCGGCGTGTTGCACGGAGGCTGGTCTGTGGCTGGCCCAGCTCCCTTTTCCTGCCGCTCAGCGGCCTCCGCTCACACCGCCCGGGCTCCGCTCAGGTATCCGGCTGGGGCTGTCAGGAGTTGCTACCGCCGGCGCAGCTCCACGCGGCTCCAGTCCCGCATTGCCTCGGGAAGGGAAAGGCAAAACCAGGAGCCGCTGCTGCCGTTGCAAAGCGCCGCCGCGGCTCTTCCTTTTTGCCTTTCCCTTCCTGAGGCAACGCGGGACTGGAGCCGCACCAGCAACTCCTGACTCGGGGCCTCCGGGGGGAAGGGAAGGAGGAGAAGAAGGGGTGGGGGGAAAGGGGGGGGATTCCCAAAAAAATCGGAATTCCGATTTTAATCGGAAGAATACCATGCCTGCCCTTAATTAAAGCAGTGACTGTGCTAATGGCAGAAAGCATAAAGGAAGGAAAAAAGGCAGCGTGCAAGATGGTTGGGAAATGAAGCAAGAAGGGAGGAAATCAAATTAGGGCGAGAAGAGACAGATAGTAGAGGGAAAGGATAAAGGAAGGGGGGAATTTTTAGGATGGCCAAGGATTCTCCTACAGACGCTACACAATTACCAATCTATGCCAACTGATACAATATTACAACTTAAACCAAGCTTCAAATTACTTACATTGTTTTCTTGGGAACTTCCCTGTAGCACCAATGAATTACTTCCTACAGATTCTGTTTCCATATCACTAAGATCAACAGGGCTACTGCAAAATTAAAACATGGAATTAGCAAATTAGAAAACGTGTTTCTAATGTTGGGATAAAGGAGACAATTCAGCTTAACTCATTTAGACCCAAATCTTTAGACCCAAAACCTGCCTCCCGATTCACCCAGTGACCTCAATATTTGCAGGGAAAATTAGGCAAATAGGAATTGAAGGTATAAATCACATGTATTTTCTAATGATTTCTAGCATTACATTTAAATAATTCAGAAAACTTTTTAATTGGTGAATTTTTTCTATTTTTATTAATGTAAAGATCCATTTGTATTTAGATAAGTAGATAGCAATATAAATAAAACCTTCAGAAAAATAATTCTGTTTTAAAATAACTGCACGTGCTCTCCTGCACCAACTACGTTCTGGAGATGGCATACAATTCTGATAACCTGCTAGTACATCATGTTAAATTGTCTAGTTTTTTAAAGAAGTTTAAAAAAGGATAAGCAACAGTTAATAATCCTTGCATCAACATACTTAGCATTATAGCTCCGTGTATTTTGTAGAAAGCTACATGTAGTCCTCACATAACTATGGAGACTAGCAGCAGTCTTGCTAAGCCACGTGACCAGTGAGCAAAGCACCCCAGAATATGGCTGTTAAACAAATGCTGTCCTTAAGCGAGAAATCACGTGACCAAGAGTTGCCCTTTCACTGCCAGTTTCTCTACTGACTCCACTTATCACAAAAAAGTGGGCAAACAGCATTCACGTGACCTTGTGATGCTGCAACTATCACAAATGCCTGCTGGCTGCAAAGGGCCCAACTGTTGAACACACACACACACACACACACACACACACACACAGGGACAAAGTCAAAAGACCAGCCATAAAGTTACTTTTTCAGCACTCTTGTAACTGAATGATTGCTAAATGAGACAGTCATTAAGTGAGGCCTACCTGTAACTATGGCCATTGAACCCAATTCCACAAAAATGAATTATGCAGCCCTTAAGCTAAACTTTGCTTTGTAAGAAACAAGCCTGATAAATTTCAGAAACTTGCTGCTGCTGAATGATTCCTGAATAAAAATAACCCTCAACATTTAAAGGCTTAACCACACCAGAACAACTAGACACAAGGAGGTTTTTTTCCCAAAAGCCATCACTCTGCTAAACAAAGAATTCCCTCAATACTGTTCAACTATTTACAAAGCATACACTACTATTACTGTTAATCTTCTCATCCCTCCTTATCACCCATCCCCTCCCACTTGTGATTGTAGGACTGTAACTTTGTCGCTTGTATCCTTACGATTTATATGGACTGTTTCCTAGTATGATTTGATTGGTGATTGTACCCTATGATTATCATTAAGTGTTGTATGTTTTGATTCTTAACGAATGTATCTTTTCTTTATGTATACTGAGAGTATTTGCACCAAGACAAATTCCTTGTGTGTGCAATCACACTTGGCCAATAAAGTATTCTATTCTTCTATTCTATTTGTGCGCCTTAAGAGACACTGCTGCTACTTACAGTCCTTGGGCATCGGAGCCTCCTTCGTGGGGAGGGTCCCAAAAATGCAACGCAACTTTCCAAAGCCTGATCTGTTGATCCCAAGATCTCCGGCTGTACTTTTTAAATTTATTTGGAGTCCTTGGATGGACCCCTGGAACCCGTAGACACCTGGGAGAGAAACAGTTCGGCTACTTTTAGCATACTACCAACCTTCAGCAACTTAGCCCTGCAGCAGTTTCTGGATAAATAAATTTTTCCAGAGCAAATAAAAGAGGCCTTCCATTTGCAAGGTTGTTCAGAAATAGGACCGCTGGTCTTCCAACGAGCCTACGCCACCCTCCCTCTCAGCAACGCCCTACTGCAGTTTACATTTGTTTCAATATTTACACAGAGGAATAATTTAGTGCAAATTTGGCATCAGAGACCTTCAGCTTCTCAGAATATTCTGCCACAGCCTTCAACGTAGCCATTCGTGAAAACAGAAATGAGAAATTATAGTAGCAACTTAGTACAAAGTGGGTGAGCCAGAAATCAGTATGACATTATGGCCAACTTTCCAGGGATAATTTTCCGACCTCTCATTTTATGGTTTTCCCTGTTGCTTCCCTTCCCCCATCACAAGCAAGGATATGTTTCTTTCTTAGAAGTATAATTTATGTATCTGATTCAAGATGCTGGCTCATCTATAATGCTATAAAAGATTCCGGTGATTTATGAGGCCAAAAAAAGTATGGGTACATCTTGGGAGGAAAAATTCATTTTCTTTACACCAAAACCTTAAGTTTGCCCCAATACTTACAAATTATACTTTGTACTGAAAAGGTATCTCCACTTACCTAGGAACCTCTTGAATGTATCTGTCATATGCCAATGTATTCTTCCCATAATTTATTTGTTTTTGTCTCCTCATTAGAACAGCCTCGTCAGTCTCCAGTTCCACGGCTGCTGTAGATTCCTTTGAATCCGAACTGGAAAAATAGAAGTTTTATTTTTCAATTATTCCCGTTTCATGGCTTTGCATTCTCAGACACAAGCCGAGATTTATTTATTTATTTATTTATTTTGGAGGGGGGGGGGAATACTTTTAGTGCTATTCTGCCCTTATCATGGGAAATGTCTCCCCTTTTCTTCATTTCCCTCATAACTTCTCATTCCCACTCACTTTTTAATATAGCCATGCTTCAATTATTCATTCTCATCAGCCTCCATTTCACAGATCATCCCTGGTAGATTTGCTATGAACAATGATATTTTTTTTACCTTCCAGTAGAGGTCTTCCTTTCTCTTCCAAGCTCATTTATTAGAAGCTTTCTTTTGTATCTGTAAAACATTTTTTAATTAAGTTATTTCCAGTGCATGTATTGCTACAGTGCTGTTCTGCTACACCCTTGTTGGCATTTTATTATTTAACAAATGTAACACTTAAAAACATTCTCACGTTAGATGGTAACTCTTTATTACCCAGATTTTTCTGACCTACTGGATTTATGCACCAGAGCTAGGTTTTTTTATAGCACATTCTCCAACTTAGTCTTACAGCATAAAATTGTTTTCTATTCTGAGTGCAAAAGTGTGTGCCCCGTGAAAAGGGGCAATACCCTCCCTCCCTTACTAGATCTCAAATAAAGGTTGGTGGTTTTTGACCTCAGGTAGGAGAAATGGAATTTAAAGGAATTGCAGATCTGCTGTACCTTGCCATTTCTCTGATGACGTTAGTCCTCATTTCATCTTCTTCAACTGCACTCCCCCAGTCTGAACATCTCGAAAGGGGCTTGTGACCCTCTGGGGTTGTGAAACTGTGAACACCGAGTTGCAGGAAAAACAAAGTAGCAGCTTTGAATATTTAAAACACACAGCAGAGCGTACCCCATCTCAACTGCATCGCAGGTTAAGCCACACAGGCACAATGTATTACTGAACCCTCCTGTATCACAAAGTGCTTTTGAGTTACTCTATGCAGAACGGTGCTTATCATGTTTGGGATACCACCGATATCCTACTTAAAAATACTGAGTACAGCGCTAACATATTATACCAGGAACTGAACATTTTACGGCCACCTCTGCCTTAAGTACTGTGCTTAAGAGTGAAGAACTATTTCTGTACACCTACCTCTCCGATCTGCCATCTGCCAGACTGTACGCATCGTAATCAATGGTTGGGCCGCTGGGCTCCTGTGTATTCCTGTGCTTTCCGTCTGCATCGCGCTTCCTGCCTTGACTCCACGAAGAGGTTGATCTGCCAAGGGGCAGTGAAAAAGAAGAAACACTCAGGGAAAAGAAGTAACAACTCATTGGTCTTCCTAATTAGAAGCAAAGTTTCAGAAGCTACACAGGTCAAGCTGGCCTGGGAATCGCCCATTTTGAATTGTTCCTAGCTCTTGAACGCAGGCAATCCTCGACTTAACGACCACAACTGAGCCCAGGCTTTTAAGTTGCTAAGGGAGACATTTACTCAGTGAGTTTTGCCCCATTTTACCACTTTTCTTGCCACCTTTGTTAAGTGAATCCCTGCAGTTAAACTAGTAACACGGTTAAGTGAATCTGGCTTCCCCATTGACCAGAAGGTTGCAAAAGAGGATCACGTGACCCTGGGATGCTGCAACCGTCATAAATATAAAGCCAGGCCTCCGAATATATATTGTGGGAGCATGAAGATGCTGCAAGGGTCTTAAATGTGGAAATATGGTCATAAGCCACTATCTTCAGAGCCGTTCCAACTTTGAATGGTCACTCAATGAGCTGTTGTTAAGTCGAGGACTGCCTGTAGGGCAAGGGTCCTTTGGGACAACCATGAGCTGGATGACCGAGAATCTCCATAAATCCCATTCTGATGCTTCCTCTCTTTTAAGACAGACTCGAGATCTGTCAAATCTGTTTGATATAGTATCATAGAGAGAAGTCAGAGGTTTGCTGGAAAGTTCAGACAAAGGTAACTGGAGGTTTCCAAGATATTGAGGTTCCTTCCAACTCTGTGGTTGTTATTTAGGCAGGATAGAGGTTGGGATTGGGGGCATCACAAATCAGTTAAGGCAGTGGTGGCTAACCTTTTTGGGCTCCTGTGCCAAAAATTGTGTGTGCGCTCCCGTGCCAACACCCAGAAGGCAATGCACACAGCCCCCCTGCCCCATGCGCATGCACGCATGATTCCCCACCCCACCCCCTTACCTGCACTGCACCTCCCAGCTTATTTTCAGCCCGTTTGAGGCCTTTTTTGGCCTGCCAGAGGCTTGAGGGAAGCCTCTGCAGCCCGAAAAGTGGGCCTGTTTCACCACTTCCTGTATTTCCGGAAATACCGGAAATGACGAAACGGGCCTATTTTTTGGCCTCAAAGTTTTCTCTCAAGCCTCTGGCAGGCCAAAAAAGGTCTCAAACGGGCTGAAAATCAGCCGGGAGGCGCACATTTGCGCAGGCAAGTTTGCTTGGCGCTCGCGTACCATAGGTTCACCATCATGGAGGTAAGGTTTCTATCAGCTGCATAGATTTGAAGATAATAGATTAACAGAGTTGGAAGGGACATTGTAGATCATCTAGTCCAACCCCCCCACCCCAAGCAGGAGACCCTCACCAAGGGTCCCCAAACTTGAGTTTTAAGACTTGTGGATTTCAACTCCCAGAATCCCTGAGCTAACATGACGGGAGGAGGAATTCTGGGAGTTGGAAGTCCACAAGTCTTAAAGCTGTCAAATTTGGGGACCCCTGGTCTAGATATTTATATAATTTATGTCACTCATCCTCTGTCTGTCTATCATCCAGCTAGCCAGCCAGCCATACACTCTCTGTCTCTCTATTTATCTCTCTATCTAGTTCTGTCTCTAGATTTTTATATAATCTATATCATCCATCTCTATCCATCCATCCATCCTATCAATCATCTATTCCTCCCTCTCCCTTCCTTTCATCCAACTAGCCCAAGGGTCTCCAAACTTGGCAAGTTTAAGACTTGTGGACTTCAACTCCCAGAATTCCTGAGCTAACATGACTGGAGAAGGAATTCTGGGAGTTGAAGTCCACAAGTCTTAAAGCTGTCAAGTTTGGAGACCCCTGTTGTAGGGCACAGGGGTGGGAGCAAAAGAGCTCCATCCTGCTATAGCTGGTCCTCCACTTAGAGGAGGACCTCTGGGACTGGAATTTTGGTCGCTGAGTGAGACAGTTGACAAGCCACTCGTCCCCTGCTCGTATCCAGCTCTGTTGCGGTCGCTAAGTGAATCATGTGACCGACCAGGACAACATGAAGCCAGCTTTCCCCCAGCTGCTTTGTCCTCAGGGCGGTTGCAACTTCAAATGGCCACTAAGCAAAGCGGCTGTAAGCCGAGGACTTCCTGTAACGAGGACTTTGGAGGGAGGAAAAGCAGAAGTGGGAGGCCAAGAGAGTAAAAACGCATTTCCCACAAGCAATTCCTCCTCCTTTCCTTTCAGAGTTTGTTTTTGTGAACGGCAGGCAGCTTAAAATAAATAATAAATAAATAAATCCATTTTAAACACTTCCCTTCCCAAAGAAGGCCACCTCCGGCCTTTTCTTTCCCCCCTCAGCCTCCGTCCTTTGGACGAGGAATCAGATCTATCTGACGGGGTTTTTCTATTGTTTTTTTACCTCACCTGACGGGTCTCCATTGTATCGACTAAGCAGCATTGTGTGAATACACGCGTTTGGGCATGCACACGTAAAACCCAGGGCTTTATAGTTGGATTTAAAGCAGGCGATTGTCCAGCTTTTGGCATCCGAGACCCCCCCCCCCCACGAACAACCACCGTGTGAGGAAGGGAAATCTCCCCCAAATTACCCGGAGGACCGAGACGTGTGTGTGAGGGGGGGGCCTTCAACATGGGGGCCTCAACCCAAATGAGGCGCCTCAGCGCAGCCCAACATTGGCGGGGATGGCCTGAGGGGAGACTCAGGCCATCCCCGCCAATATTGGGCTGGGCTGAGGCGCCTCATTTGGGTCACAAGGCAGAGGGAGACGAGGAAGGCAAGGCCTATAAGAGCTCCTCAGGCCGTCGGCGGCTCCACGCGGCGGCCCTCCCGGCTCTCACCTGCTACGAGTCCGGCCGGCCAAGGGGCTTCGCTGGCGAAACGACATGACGAGAAAAAGGCAGAGACAGTCCCGACGACCTTTCCGCCGCTGTCGCCGACCTCGCAACTGAGGCGCGTCAGGTAGCGCCGCGCGCGCAAACCCAAGCGGGCGCTACCACCTCGGAAAAAAAGGGGGGGAACCTTATAAGGGGAGCCTTTTCTCCCCGCTTCTTCCTTTCGGAGCTCCGGGAAGGAATACCCAGCCGCCGCCCGTGGATGAAATTTTCTTTCCTTCCGAGTTCCTATTCTGAGGTAGAAAGGGCCTCGGGGAAGCTTTTTTCCTTCTACCTTCAGAACAAGACTCCCCCCTTGTAAGCGGCGTGGTCATGGTTTGCTCCGACGCGCGGAGCCACGCCCCCTCTTTCTCCCGCCGCCCCCCCACCCTCTTTTGCCTGTTTGGGCGAACGGCGCCTTGGCGGGAAAAGTTTGCAAGGCCGGATGGATCTTTGGAACAAAATATTGCAGCGTTGGGCGCTTTTTTCTGGGCGGTTTTGAGGGGATTTCGGCCCCGGCCCCGGCCCCGCTCGCTTGTTTTCCTCGGCTGAAGCTGCTTCCCGACGACGGATCTGTTGCTCGTTCATTATGGAGCAATTTTGCAATTTTTGTTTTGCTGTTTCCTAAAGCCCTTTGGGAAGGGAATATATTCCTGCACGCTTTGGAATTCTGCCAGCTTGCTAATATTTAGTGCTTGTAAGAAAGCAGGGCTGTCAGAATAATTGCATAATAATTGGGTGGTCGCAGGCCAAGATGCTGCGGTAGTCATCATGTAAATAGGATACTGCAGCAGCAGAGATGAGAACAGGCTTCTTGGTAAGGGATAATGTAGAAGATAGTATTTAAAAAAAAACATTCTAAAAGTCCTTCTGGTTTTTAAAATTGCCTTTATCGGATCCGTGCTTCCCCTGCTTTTAGCTAGAAACAGAAATCTAGCACATGCATTCTGTAAAGTCACCCTCCGGTCTTCTGTAGAAGTTCCTATACGTGTTGCCCAAATAAGAGTTGTTTGCTCGTATCTCATTAAAAGTTGTGTCTTTCTGCTACACTGCAGGACATTCCCCCAAATTACAGGCTGTGATGTCCCAAAGGTATTCCCCCCCACTCCGAAAGGCAACTGGGCTTTCTTGTTTTTTTCGCTGAAGATGTTTTTGCTTCTGTAGAAAGTCAACAGGCCACCCACCCTCCTGGAGAATGAAACATTTTGGGGAATATTAAAAAGGCAGAATAGAATATTTCCCCTAAAGGAGAAATGTGGGGGAAAAACCCTTAAGGGAAGCAGAAACCAGCCCCAGTCTCCCTGCCCCAAGCAGACAGAATCCTAACCCAACCTCCCAAAAGAGAAGCTGCGTAAGGACTTTATTTAGAGGAATCCAAACCCACTGCAGGAACCCAGACCAGCAGAAAAAGGAATGGAGCATCTATAGAGGACACATTCCAACAAAATGGATACCCACTCAACTTTATCAAAAAATCCCTGATACCAAAAGGCCCAGCAACCCGAGAAAAAGAAAAAACAGGAGTCATCTACAACAGTGGTCCCCAACCACCAGGCCCCGGACCGGTACCGGTCCGTGGATCATTTTGTACCGGTCCGCCTATTTTGTTTGGGCGCCGCCATCTTGTTTCGACGGCGCTTGAGAAAGTGCTTCTGGGTGAGCTTGTCGGTCGTCGGTTGGAAAGCGGCGTTTGGGTGCTGAAGGAATCCTCGCGCCTTAGTTTCGTCGAAGGGGGGGGCGGCTTCGAACGAAGAGCCGTCCCGATGGCGGTGGAGTCTTGCGTTACTCAGGAGGAGATTAAGAAAGAGCCCGAAAAGCCCATCGACCGCGAGAAGGTACAAAGGAGGAGTTGAAGGTGGCGGGGAGAAGCGGGGGATGGCTGGCTGGCCAGTCGCTCGGCTCGCCTTGCCTTGGTCATGCGTGCTGATGCCGGTACCGGGCCGTGGATCATTTGTACCGGTCCGTGGTACAAAAAAGGTTGGGGACCACTGATCTACAACATACAGTGTAACGGAATGCAGCAACCACTGTGTAGGACAAAGAGGCAGAAGACTGGCAGAAGGCATCCATGAATACCATCTGGCAGTCAGAAGAAGGCATGATGAAAATTCGTTGATTTCACAACCTATAGTCAGATTGAAGTCTAGTTTCAATTGGGAAAATGTGACACAATCCTAAACCAGGCCAAGTCCAAAAACACCAGGGAATTTAGACTATGCAAAAGAGACAATCAACCAGCCAAAAAGAGAATAAAGACTCCAGTACCTCTCTACCAGCAATCAGCAACCAAATCAGCATCTGTTAAACTCCAAGGTTAACATCAGACCAACAATCAAGTAAGCAACACCCCAATCAGTGGTGGGATTCAAAAAATTTTTACTACCTGTTCTGTGGGTGTGGCAGGACAAGGGGACTGAAAAATCTCCAGTCAGAGGTGGGATTTGCAGGTTCAACTACTCAAAATTTCCGCTACCAGTTCTCCAGAACTGGTCAGAACCTGCTGAATGCCACCTCTGACCCCGATGTAGAAACTGCCAAAGAGCCATCAGTAAACAGCCCAACCAAAGAACCCTAAGACCGCAGAGGCTAGCAAGACACTAGAATATAAACTGACAGCAAAAGGCACTCCTACTAGCACTGATGAGGTTACCTAGTTGGGTCATGAAATGTCTGCAAGAAAACAAACAAGCTCAGAGAGCATCAAGGAGCCCTCCCTTTAATGTGTTATTGTGCCATGATGTGACATAGCTTATGACTAGAGCAGGTTTCCCCAAATGTGGCAACTTTAAAACTTGTGGACTTCAACTCCCAGAATTCTCCAGCCAGCATACAAGTCTTAAAGTTGCCAAGTTTGGAGGCCTCTGTACTAGAGCTTCGTAATATGAACTACTGTCATATAATATGAAAGATTATTCATTCCTGAATATCCCAGGCATCGTTCCTCATTTTTCAATATAATTTTTTTTGCAATTATTTCAATATTTACAGTTCTAGAACTTGATCATAGTAGTAATAACTGCAGAGAAAATTTTGTTCAAGCTTTAAAAAGCGCCCTGCATTAATTTGCCTGCTTGCATTTATTTATTCATTCATTTAAATGTTTGGGACGCTTACGATTTATAAAATAATAAAAACGAATTAATAAACCAGCGTTCTAATCTGTGAAAGGGACCATGCGCATGCGTGCAAAACGCACAAAGGATAAACATCAAACCGCTCGCCGCTTCCGGCCTTCCGCGTCCAACTGCGGGCCACGCCTCCTTGGCAAGCTCCTCCCTCCTCCGAGGGAGGTGGGGTTTTTTTTCGAGAACGTCGATCGGCGCATGCGGCTCGCGTCACGCGTGACGTCAGTCATTCCAGGCTCGCCATTGGCGGAGAAGCGGCGACGTTTAAATTTGAACCGGGAGCTGGCGTTGTGAGGGTGGAGGAGGCGGAGAGGGAACCGGTCTGACACGCGTCTCCGGGCCATTCCCACGTTGGTGGTGTTTTGTCTTTCCCCCGTGTCCCCAGCTGAGCGCGGAGGGGCCGCGAGCCCGCTTCCTCAGGTGAGATCGTGGGAACGGCGGGAGCGGGGCTTGCGGGGAGGCGGCCCTGGACCCCGCCACCCCCCCCACCCCGGGTCTCTGCCCCCCCCCCCGTCCGTCGCCCCGGCCCCGAGGCTGCCTGACAAGCGGGGTTCCCCCTTGGGAAGAGCCGTGGGGATCCTCCTGGTGCGAACAGACTGGGACTACCTAATTTAGTTTATTATTTTTATTTTTATATACTGTATAATAATATATGCGTGTATGTATATACGTGTGTGTATGTATATTTATACATATATATACACATACACGTATACACACACACACACACACACACATGTGTAGGCTTGGTGGGTGTGGCAGGGGAAGGTTACTGCAAAATCCCAATCCCTCCCACCCCAGGGTATGTATGTATATGTACGTGTATATATTACCAGAAATATAAAAATGATATTGCCACCTTCCGTACTCGCACATGGCAACTCAAGGCAGCTTACAAAGACATAGAAACACCACCATATAAAAGAGATAAAAATAATAATAAAAAGAAAAATAATAAAATAGTAACCCTACACAGACACCCACACAGAGCCTGGCGACAGCCCACATTCATGCTAAGCACCGCATGGGCTCCATTCCAGTCTCTGGGTTCTAATTCAGCAAGAGTGGAGGCTTTGCAGCTCCTGCCGGAGAAAATGGTGCAAATGGTTTATAAGCACAGGTAATCCTCGACTTACAACTGCTCATTTAGCAACCATTCAAAGTTACGAGGGCTCTGAAAAAAGGGGGACTTACGACCGTTTTTCACACTTAACCGTTGCAGCCTGCCCCACCATTATGTGATTTATACGCAGATTTATGTTTCACATTTATGACGGAATCCCCTTTTGTGACCTTCTGACAAGCTTCTGGAGGAAGCCAGATTTTCTTAACCATGTTACTAATTTAATGACTGCAGGGATTCACTTAACAACGGTGGCAAGGAAAGTCATAAAAATGGGGCAAAACACATTTCACAAATTTTGAATTTTGAATTCTGCTATATAGTGCAGTGTTGGTGTGGTGTCCAGGGTTTCCAATTCAATGGTTGAAGGGTGAAGGATGTGTGTTTTTATTTTCATGGTCATGATGTGCATGAAGTGCAATGACAATAAAATAAACTAAAAAGTCTCACTCAGCAACATACATTTGGGGCTCAGTTGTGGTTGTAGGTTGAGGGCCGCTTGTACAGCAGCAATGAATGTTTGCAGCTCTTTAAAAAAATGGCCACCTCCTGCCCGACAAAAATATTGCAAATTATTTATAAATATCAAAATACTCATAATATATATATTTATAAGCTTGTAATATAGGGGTCCTTCCTGCTCTCTGAGCTTGGTTGTTTTCTTGCAGGTGTTTTCATTGTCCAAACTAGGTAACATCATCAGGGCTAAATGTATAATTGTGAAAATTATTGTTACCTTGAGTTCAGGGACTTACAGAGTCGTAAAAGGGGAGTATTGTTGCCAATAATTTTCTTCCTCCTGACCACGGAATGTATTCTTCTCCAGGAAAATGCCCTTAGAAAAGAGTCTGGCTCAAACTAGAATTTGCTGTCTTCAGTTCTGTGTTTTAAAGAAGTTTTAAGAGAAATGCTCTGTCCTGACGGGGAAAGCTTATTAATGCTGCCGTTTTTGCAAATCTGAAGGGGGGGATGCAGGTTTTTCATGCCTGCTCTTGAGTCTGGTTTCAAAGCTGCTGCCAGCGGGTGAATCAATGTAAAGAAATGAGGAAGCTCTCTTCAGAGGTTTTTGCATTCCGATGATGCTACTATCCTGGACAGACCGAATTACGAATTTGGGGGATCTGGAATCCATCTGCTATCTTGAAGCAAAATTCGCAGATAATCTGCTTTACATGTGTTGGACGTTAGAACCCGCCCCTCTCCTAGAGAAATGAAATATTTTAGGATATACTAAAAAGGCAGAATATTTCCCCTAAAAGAGAAGTAGAAACTCAGAGAGGCAGAAACTCAGCCCACCCACCCCCCAACACCTTTGTTAATGGGCCAGTAAGGCCTGTGCCAGTCTATTCTACATAACAACGATCTACTCCAGGTAGAGCCATAATAGGAATTGCCCAAAGCCATTTCATTGTATCATCATCATCCAGCAAGACTCAACCCAGCCTGGGACTCAAAAGACAGCCTACAAAGTTACCCCTGCATGGCCCCAATCAGAATACAAGCTCACTTTCGGCATCTCAGCCCTTTTCCTTCTTTGGAGTGCCAAGCCAGGTGGTCCTGCCCACCATTAAACCACCTTTCCAAACAGCCTCCATGAATCCAGTGCCTTCCTTTCCCCACTTGGACCTGAATCCAGAAGGATATTTCTTCCAACACATCCTTTGCCTTTTAGGATGAGCCTACAGGCTTTAAATGGAGAAAATGCCGGTGAGGACATAGTGGCCGGAAACTGTGCGATGCTTTTGACGTCTGCAGAGACCACAGGCAAGACTTCTATCCTTCGGCTATCGCAGAAAGAAAATGTGCCACCCAAAGGAATAGTGAAGCCTATGAAGGTACGTCGTGTTGATGTCTAGCAGAGCCAACTTATGCCAGAAGCTGTAGGGAAAAAAGGGCATCTTCAGTTTGGTAGCTGGGAGACAGCGCAACCGCATCCTAGAAGATTCGGCTGAGTGCCACTTTAGAAGAAGCTATTAGCTGAGGGGTTGCAAAAGAGATGCGTTTAGGCCCAAGTGGGCTTGGATAGTATCTCATAGTTTTACCCCACTTTTAATGTTTTTACAAATAACCCAATGCAGTGAACATATCCAGCACATCTTTCTCTTATTTTCTCCACAACAACCCTGTGAGGTGGGATAGGCTGAGAGAGAGAATAAGTGGCCCAAAATCACTCAGCTGGCTTTCGTGCCTAAAGTGGGATTTGAACTCATGGACTCCAGCTTTCTAGCCTAGTGCCTTAGCCATTAGACTAACTGGTGTGTTAGTCCATCGCTCTGTAGAAGACATAGGGATACAAATAAATATTTGTTGCTTAGTTTTTACTTTAACTCTGATATTTTTTTTTAAGTTTTCTGGATTTTTTTTTATTGCTGGAACTTTAAACTATTTTTGGCCTCCTGGTTTGAGCATCTCTGTTAGCAATAGAATAGCTGAATATTAATATCCTTTTAAATATGTAAAAAAAAATTGCAGTTACAAGTTTTTTCCATGCTGTTTTGAACAAGGTTTTTTTCCCCCCACTTTGCAGGTAACTTTCCAAACACCACAGCGGGATCCTCAAACTCGCAGGATCTTGAGTCCAGATAGAAAGAAAAAGGTTGAAAATTCTCTTGTAGCGGAGATTACGGACAATCTTCTCTTGCCTACATGCACTGCAGTGTGAGTCATCACTTCTCTAATATGCGTTCGGACATATTTTTAGACCCAAAAAGTGGCAAGAGTGTCTGTTTTTCAAAAAGCAGGCCATCCCCTTGCAGCCTTTACCCTTGGAAGCAAGGAAGTGTTCCTTCCCTGTAGAAATTGGCACTTTTATCCCTTGGAAGCCTAGGCAGAGATCTAGGGACTTGTGCTAAAAGGACTTAGTTGTTTAAAAGCATATTTAAGTACGGTGGCTGTTCATGGCCCTTCGGTCTGGAAAGGAAGGATAGTTGCCTTAGCTTGGAACCTCTGCGGTCAAACATGTTGGTGTTTTCTTGCCTACCCTCTAATGGGCTGCCTGAAGACCCTCAACAACTTGTTGTGTTGGCGTGAAGACCTTTTTGTTTTGCCACATGTGTCAGGATTCTTTTAAGATCTTTCACGAGTTGACTCTAGGAACAGGTTATGCAAGGATGGCTTGTATTCTGTTTTGAGCTGTTCGTTTTTCCTTTACTAGACCGAATACTCTTTTCTATAGAAATTAGTTTAGGCCTGGACTAATAGTGGGGAAATTGGAGTTACCGCCTGTCTTGGGTATAAAGCCACCTGTATGACTTGCATTGGCCGTTTTCATAGGTTTCTCCATGTAGTCGCCAGAATCACACCTAATATAAAGACCCGAAGAAAAAAATGGTACTTTTTAGTCTTCCAGAGAAACAGTTCTTAATCTTGACATTTCCACCAATCTTCACATTTTTAATATAGAAATTTAAAAACTGCTTTTCGGGAGGGGTGGGGTGGGGGATATTATGATCTTGTCTTGAAAACTGCATCAATGCATCCGATTCAGAAACGGGAGCGTAATTATTCAATGCACTACCTATCTATTGGGTGTATATCTGTAAGGTCATTGCGCTCTGGGGTCTCCTATCTTGGCCATTTTAAGATTTGTGGACCTCAGCTTCAGAATTCCCCAGCCAGCATGCTGCCTGGGGAATTATGGGAGCTGAAGTCCGCAGATCTTAAAAAGTGGCCACGGTTGGAGGGCCCTGTTCTGTGAGGTTGGTGGTTTCTTTGCAGATGTTTCATTCCATATTTATTTCCAAATTATTTCCATTGAGTTCAGATCAGATCAGCTCTAGGAGTAAAATCAAAGCATCCAAAGAAACACAAATATTCCACTTCACAACAAACTCTCAGAAGTGGGTAACCTGGTATGTCCTGGTCCATAAAGAATGGACCCCATGAGGAACTCTGGGAGTTGAAGTCCACAAGTCTTAAAGTTGCCAAGGTTGGAGACCCCTGCAGTCTAAATAAAGCTTAAGTAGAATGAACGCTGTGTATCTTTTCAGCAGGAGTCAACCAACAGTGACCACCGAGGTTCCTCCGGAAAAAGAGAAGGTGCCAACAGGAGGAGATTCTGTCCTGATTCCTGATCTGAGCTTCCTCTCCTCCGTCCTCCACCATGTGGAGCCATTTCAGAGCTCAGGCAACCTCCTGAATTTCCCTAACGGCCAGAAAGTCTCCCTTTTGGAAGATTTTCCTGGAGATGAAGATCAAGATGGGTTTTCCCTTTCTAGTGGTTCGCTTCCCTTGCCTCAAAGCGTTTCTGAAAATCCTCCGTCTGAAGGTGAGGGCTGCCCAGCCAGGAATCTCTTCTCCTCCCTGGACTCCTTGCTGCATGAAGGTGACGACGCCTCAGAGCAAATCCTCAGTGGCGACCGGGACCTAAACCTTGTTTCTAGCAGACATTGCAAGCCGGAGCCCTCAGCGGTGTTGCACTTCCAAAATCCTCCCTTGCAGAAATTGGGGAGCTTCGAAAATTTAAACACTGGCGAAATAAAGGTCTTTGAAAAGGAGGCCAGCCCTGAAACAAAAGAGGACTGGGCTCCCCAACTCCCTGACTGCATGAGCTTTGATTCTGACCTGGAGACTGTTGGGTGTGCGCCCAACATCCCGGCCATGCAAGAATGTCCTGCACCTGGTTTAGAGAAATCGGATGGCCCAAAAGATGAAGCAGGCACCCCGCCAACACAGGAGCTGAAAGCACCAGAAACCTTTGAGACGATGGAATTAATGCCCAGCAGCCTGTGAGTGTTCTTAGCCTTGAAGTATAGCGTGTGTTGGTGAAGCCAAGGCCAGAAATTTACCTTTGGGCGCAAATGAAGAGGTGTGCATCTAGTCCAGGGGTCTCCAAACTTGTCTACTTTTAAGACTTGTGGAGTTGAAGTCCACAAGTCTTAAAGTTGACAAGTTTGGGGACTCCTGATTTCTAGTCTATTGTTCTGGCTTGTAAAAATTATCTGATTTTTAAATTTTTTACTCAATATCCAGTTAGTTTAGCCAGTCCAAAGTTTTGTTTAACTTCATTATGCATAGATTTTGCCCATAAACAGGTTTTATCAGGATTGCAAAACAATGTTTTCTTTTGAGCTGGAAAACAAACATCTCTCCATGGAAAGTTTTAACCTATTGGAACATTTTGATTAGTTTGGACCCTGATCAAATACAAATGAGACTATGTTTTGTGTGTTTTACCATGGGAAACAATTAAATCTCTGCTCTCGCGTGTAGATTTTCAACATCACAAAAGTAGATCAATTGATAGTACCTTCATTGTGTTGCCTGCTATCTAATTTTTTGGGGGGAAAATGGTCAGAGGACTTATTTGAATGAAATGAAAAGAAGAAACCTTATGGTTTCTTCTGGGCTCAGAGTACTTGAAACCATGGTTCTGAGCCTTGAACACTTGGGGGCCTGCTAATCATTTACACCGCCAGATATTTGAAAAAAGCAAATTCCCCCCCAAACCTTACATAGTGGCATGATGCAGAGAAAGCAGGAGAAAAAACAAATATGTTGAATTGCAGATGACTTTATTAGCACAACAGATTTGCGAGCCACGCCGAAGTCACTTGGTTGGGTTAAGCAGCTGCAGAAATCGAATACAATGAAATCTCAAACATGGTTCCTGTCAGATGTTCTAATGTCAACCTTTTGTGTCGCATAGGAAAGTGTTTAAAGATTGGATTTTGGCGAACAGCAAGACCGTGGCTGAAAACGATACCGGACTTGAACCTTCAGAAGAAACCAAGGTATCGCCCCAAAATCCATAGTTGTGTTTAGGCCACGGGGGCCTTGCAGGGGGAGAGGAAATGGCTGTGCTTCTGAGGGCTCGGCAGAGAAGACCACTCTCTAGGGCAGGGGTCCCCAAACTTGGCCACTTGAAGACTTGTGGACTTCAGCTCCCAGCAGAGCTGGCTGGAGAATTCTGGGAGTTGAAGTCCACCAGTCTTCAAGTGGCCAAGTTTGGGGACCCCTGCAATAGAGTTCTGCAATGCCTGGTCCTCCCTGGGTTCCCAGTAAAACTGTCGATTCAATTTATTCCGAGGCTGAGCGTTGGGTTCTTTGACACACCTTCTCCGCAGTAAAGTGGTGCTTGAGCTCCTGCTTCTCCCGCTGGTCTCACAGGAAGTAGGGGGCTGGTCTGTGGGATTGGCAAGGCTCCTGGTGGGAAAAATCTGCCTGCAGTGGGAATATCACCCGCCATTCTGCTGTTACAGCAACGCTCAGCAGAACGAAGAGAAGGGAGAAGTTTGGCCTTGGGTGCGATTGGAAGTAGCTGCTCTGCCTGATGAACATGTTCCTTCCCCCCCCCCCCCACCTACCCCAAATATTGTTTGCTTAGGGGAAGCCAAAGAGCATCTCACCTGAGGCCTCGGACCGAGGAAACGTGGCTCTGAATGGGCAGCTGCCTGCAGGCGACCGGGTGCCCAGGGCCCTTGGCAGAAGGACCGAACCAGAGAGTGAGAGTAGCCAGCTCTTCACAGAAAGTGAAGAATTCAGATCACCCACGGAAGGTAGGTGGGAGCCTCTTAAGTCAACATTGGAAGGTTCCCGCGAGCAAAAGCTAAGTCAATAGTCACACGTCCCTGTTTGTTTTTGCTTGTTGTGTTTCTGAAGAAGTTTGGGACATTATTTACACAGAAAGCTTTGCAGACGGTAGCAACCAGGCTAATAACCCAAAAGCTCGTTTCAAAATTCGAGAAGGGAAACCAGCGGCCAGGAGAACCCGGGGCTGTTCCTTTCACCAGGCCGAAAGGGCCGTTTCCATGAAGGCGAGGGGAGAAAGCCCCTGCTCCCATCCGGGCCCAGGGACAAGCTCTTAATCCACATTTGTTAGTAAGGATTTCGGAATCGTCTCTTGATTGGAAGCTTTGGTTGGCAAGTAGTTTCTCTTTTGGTCGTAGCAAACAGTGAAATGGACGACGGGACCAATGGGAGGGAGGGAGGAAGGCCGGCCGGCTGGCCAGTGCAGGAAAGGTTTGCCTTTCTTCGTCTCCAAAAGCAGCAATTTATTCTGTGGTCTCCTCTGTTTCCCCTCCTAGTCCTCGGAGCCCAATTGGACTACTTAGAGCAATTTGGAATGGCCTCGGTGAGTAAGAGGACTCGTTCAAGGACGACGCACGAGCGCACCACAGTGGAATAAAATGAAAGGTGCAAAGTGGCCGCCTGTCTGGACTTGACCCGTGTCTGTTTCTTCCAGCTGAAGGAATCTGTCTTGAGAAAGCAGTCGCTCTACCTGAAGTTTGACCCTCTGCTCAGAGGCAGCCCCAGGAGGAAAGGCCCTGATCCTGACCCGGGGGCTCTTCCGGTGGCTCCATTGCCGCAAAACGGGTAGGGGGTCGCCTTTCTTCTATTTAAGTGGGACATTGAGAAGCTCGTTTAGAGGCCTCGTTAAATTGCAGTGTTTCCATTTCAACGTTGCCTTTCTCTGATTTAAAATCTGGAAGCACGGACTCCTGTAAGGCATAGCTGGTCCTTGAGTTATGACCCACAGTTGAGCCCCAAGTTCATGTTGTTAAGTGCAATATTAAGTGAGCTTTGTCCCATTTTACGACCGTTCTTGCTCCCGTACTGCAGTTATTAAGTTAGCCACACAGTTTCTAAGTGAATTCCGGCTTCCCTGTTGACTTTGCTTCTCAGAAGGTGGCAAAAGGGAGTTGCGTGATCCCTAGACACTGCGACCGTCATAAGTATGAGTCAGTTGCCAAGCGTCTGGATTTTGATCACGTGACCCCTGCAGATGCTGCAATGGTCGTAAGTCGCCTTTTTTCAGTGCCGTTCTAACTTTGAATGGTCATTAAATGAACTGTTGTAAGCCGAGGATTCCCTGGGCATCTAGAGAACACGGCGTCCAAAAACAATACTTGGAACAACCTTCTCCAGGATGTCAGGACTCCGACAATCCACTCCCATTCAAATCACGAGTCTCTAGCCACATCTCTCAAGAGTGGAAAAGAGGGATTTCTTCGGAATGGCCATGTCAGCGATTCCCGGTTGCAGCCGCCTCTTACCCATCATTCATGTTCCCCTTGACCCTGGTCTTCCCCCACCCCCTGGATGTATATTCTCCAGTGAGACACATCCATAGCCAAGAGTCATCAATCATGCTGTCCGGTAATAATCTTGCGCGCCAGAAGCTTCGGTTGCCCAAGTGATTATCTGAAGCATTTAAGGAATGTACTGCTTTCCTCCCCTCCCTTTCTGCTTGCAACTAAAAAGACCAAAGAAGTATCTTTTAGTTCAGTGATCCCCAACCTTTTTGACGCCGCGGCCCGGTACCGGCATCAGCTGGGCGCCGCGGCCCGGTACCGGCATCAACTGGGCGCCGCCATCTTTTTTTGACGAAAAAGTGCTTCCGGTGACCTCACCGGAAGCACTTTTTCGTCAAAAAAGATGGCGCCAGCGCTTCCGGTGAGCTTTTTTGGGTAGAAATGGCTTTCTATCCGGAAAAGCTCACCGGAAGCGCTGGCGCCGCCATCTTTTTTTGATGAAAAAGTGCTTCCGATGAGCTTTCTACCCGGAAAAGCTCACCGGAAGCACTTTTTTACCAAAAAAAGATGGCAGCGCCCAGCAACCAGCGGCCCGGTAAGACTTGTTCCGCGGACTGGTACCAGTCCGCGGACTGGCGGTTGGGGACCCCTGTTTTAGTTGGCACGGGAATTAAATGGGGGGCTTCAGCTGCCGCCCTCTGACCTTCAGCCCGAGGGTTGGTCTACTGAGCCCCCTGTAAGGGCTCCTCAGCTGCCATCCTAGGAAATTGGGGGCCAGGCTCAGCGACCCCAACGAGGAGGGTAAGCGGAAGGGCTAAAGCCCCTCTGGCTTGGCTGGCTTCCTCCTCTGAGCATTATAGCACTGCCAGCTGGAGGAAGGCGTGCTAGGGAGAGAATAGGGGAAAATTAGGAACAACTCAGCACACACACTCCCCCCCCCCAAGGAATACACCCATTGGTGTACGTTGACTCATTTAATGACCGCTGTCAAAAAGACCATAACATTGGATCAATCGTGTGGGTGCCCAATGTATGACCATCATAAAAGATACTCCAGGCTACATTACGGTTTAAGGTCAGGATACCATCATTTTCTCTG